GCTGATGTTAATTTTGCTTCTGAAATATATATCTAATATCTAAATAATCAAGTTATATTTTTAATTGTATAAGTATTTTACTATAAAACGAGTTATATTATGTATGAACTCCGGATACCGGATACGAGCTTATAGCTCAGTTGGTATACGTATCAGCAGTTATTATTAATGCAATTTATTGTAATTGATTTGAATAAAATAAAAAAAATGTATACATTTTTTTACGATACATGTCATAAAACTATAGTAGAGCAGAACTATAGGTAAACATAAAAATGTGTAGAATTGGCGTATCGAATTTTGATATAATATTAAACCGTATATGACTACAGTTAAATGTACTTATATTATATACAACACTATAACGTTAGATATTTCAATATTTGATTATTTTTATCACGGTACATACATGGTATAGCGGGTACGTTCGTCTTTTAATAAAATGTACTTTTTTTCTGATATTCAGATTAATTATGTCCACACGAGTTGGTAGGATACCTGTTATTAATATGTTGTGCATTTTTAACCGAATGAAGTATTATCGATTAGCCAATGTACTCATACCAGTTATAATAATTATATATTTTTAATGAAAATTAATAAATTTGTATAATGTAGTATATTTCCGATACCTAGATATCTATTATTTATTTAAAATTAGTACGAAATGATTTAATTATATGTCAAATAAAATAGGTAAAACACGCATTTAAATAATAACATAGGTTAAATATAATGTATTTATAATTAAATGAAAACGGAAAAAATGACAATTATAATATAATAACGTTATTGATTATGATAGAATGACAAATGTAGCCATATTATTATATTGTGGTATACTACAATACATCAAATTCGATTTTAAAATACAACAGACCGAATTTTTTAACAAAGTTTTAAAGTATATTATACAATATAATTATATTCTATATTTTTCTTTTTAACAGAAAATAATAATATTGTAGTCTTGTATTTTTTTTTCGTTTCGTGTCGTGCTAACAACTCTACGTGTATTATTGTGTTCTATATAATATCTAATCTCCGTATTGAACTTTATGGTCGTTGGTGGCCGATTCGTTCGTATACCACTCGCACGTCCGACTGTAGCGATGATGATAACAGTAATAACCATACTAATTAATAATGATAATGTACTTAATACAGGGCATTACGAAATTCCCTTTGTATCGATTAATAATTCTACACGACCGCCCTGAGTAATCGTTACGGTTCATAGGTCCCTCGTTCCGCGGCCAGCTGGTAACAAAGTATGTATTATAATAAATTCATCCAAAAGCTTATCTAACAGACGCAATTATTATTCAATTATAATATATATTACGTATGTGTGTATACGGTATACACCGTACCGAGTGCCATTATGATATCATATTACCGCACCGGTATCGATTAAGTTCATTTTTAATCTTTATTTTTTTGCGCATACTATATTATTCGTATTCAAATACTCGACAGCACCTAAGTCCTAATATTGACACTACTATCGCCTATTATGAATCTATATAATATATTATGACTATTATACATTAATACAAATAGGGCACACACGACTCACACACAAAGACATAATATAGTGTTGGTTAATTATTGCTAGTACGCATAATATATTATATAGCAGTATGCCTACTATAGTATACCTATACTCTACGGTAACCAATTCGACGTTCTCGTAATCCGGAGTATTCACCTGCAGCTGTTTCCCCCCCCAAAAAACCACTTAACCCCATTATATTAAACTCGTTGACCTCTAAATCCTCCGTCCACGCAGATAGAAAATAATATTATTCTACCACTTAAAGATAGAAAAGTAACATAATTTTATAACAATAACTGGCGACGGCACTGTTTTTTGTGTTATTTGTTATCGTATATAATACAATATAATATACAGTAGCAGTTGTGGTACGCCGTATAAAATAATGCGTTGAGCATAATCATATTATATAATATCATAACGATACTATATAATATAGGTACCTCGTGGAGTGCGTTTATTACGATCTTATTTCAACTTAATATAATAATGTATATATTATTACAGTACGGTTGACTCTCGATAGCTCAAAGTTCAAAGCGGAAAAAATTCAAATATCTATTTATAAGAAACAATCATTTTTAGTGTTGTGTCGTTTGAACTTTGAAAGCAAGACATTTTTTTTTATCTCCGAGAATCGACTGTATTTCGTTTATTACTCTTACGATTCAAATCTAATCGAAATTAAAAACGGGCTGTGCAACCGCTTAGGTCCTTCTAGATTTCGTGCAGAACTAATATTGTATTATTATCATAAAACCGAGAGGCTGGTGGTAATATGGTATTATATATTCTAATAATATATTATATAAAGGTGTGTAACCTGTTTGATCTCATATTTTTCAATGCACATTGGCCCACTTGTTCTTTCCGAAATCATATAATTGCACTAAAATTTAAGGCGTACCTACCTATATTGTTATAATGGGCCTATTGTTAAAAGTTAATAAGCCACACTTGTCCAAATTAAATATGATAATATATATTACTATATTAAAGTCGGGTGCTCTTATCAGTAGATCCATATTATAATATTTTTAATTTCTATTAAATAAAAAATATTATACACGAGGGGCCGCGTAGTCGAAACGGGTAAGAATATCCGAACGAGAATCATCTGAATACACATCCCATTAAAACTATATATTTTTTTTTCATCGGAATCCAAAAGAGCCTACAGCAGCAGTCGAGAACCAGATGAGATTGGTCGTCTGGTGTGGCCTACCGCAGCATAGACGGGTCGCAGCAAACGTTTTGAATTAATATAATGTAGTTAATATATTGTTATTACATTTTATACAATATTATGATGATAAATTATAAATAATAATATCCCATTGTGCAGCTCTCAAAAGCCGATCGCTGTAACTCGTAATTCGTCGTGCCCGGTTGTCTCGCACTCTCGCGATCTATCGTCGTTGATTTCGTTACGCATCGTTACTCGTTATATTATTATAAATTAATATAAAATAAAACGTATTGTAAATGGTTCACAGCCAACATGGATGGGTATATACCACAATACAGCGACGGTATATATACCTTATATTATACGTGTCCAATAATTAATTATGATATCTCTCGCCGTACGCGGTCAGGAGTATCGTTTTACAGTGATTCACGTCCATATCCGTTTTACCCAGCTAAAATATTATTCCTATAACAGTATAACGTAAACACTAAACGAGATCGTAAAAAATCAAAACCGTCCGACCGCGTCTGACTGTCTGCCACGGCTGACGCAAAGGCATATAGGACGTATTATTATTATGTAAATACTAAATAATAATCGTTGTTCGTCGTCAACAACACTTCGCGGACTCGGCTATTAAACACGCCGTAAAACGAGCCTTAAATATATTTATATTAAACGTATCATTATTATTATAATACGACGTACCTTTGGTTATTTTTTTCCTACACTGCTGCCTGACCGAGAGCTTATTATAATATTATATTATTATAGTAATGCCTACCTATACCTATAATATGTATACTGTATAGGTATTTTCTGGCTGATTTACTACATAATATATTTAGGTAGCTACCCCAGGAGGAATCGATAATATTAATGATTTTATGAGAACTCGTCGGCAGTAGTTATAACGATGGCGGTCCGTATATAGAAACAGTGCGTTGTTATGCGCCCGAAAAAAAAACCAATTCGTCTACGCTCGTTGTTGACCATGACTGCAGTATTAATAGTAGCCAGTGGTATAATATTAATCATTATTATCCCCCAGTCGCTTTAAAACGTAGGTACCGTTTTGTACGAACGGTTTTGTGATAAAACAGGAAAAGTACCTACTACCATTTTGTTTAATTGTTACGATCACTAAAATATAGGTATAAAAATATATTTATTAGAAAATTTCAGTGGGCTATTTTTCATCCCTCTAAGCGACGATTCTCTCTAACAATTCCGTCTCCTCCTTTCTATATACGGCCGTACGCGTGATCAAGTACCGTTTTATCAATACCGATCGCATAATATTACATCACTTGGACCGAAATACTTTGAAGAAAAATGATCTATTATTTGTAGATTTCTTGCTTTTTTTTTTTGTTGAAAAAATTTGCAATGGTAGCACTGAAATGCCAACATCAGCGATCCCTGGAAGATGCAGGGGTGTGAACAAACCGCAAACGTCCTACATACTATCTAAACTGGACACATATATAACGGGTACCAATATACTATACATGCAATTAATGCAGAATTGCATTTTAGAGGCATTTTAACACTATTGTTTGCGCAAATACGTTAGGCATACTTAACTTCGTAGAATTATACAAATGGGCCTTACAATCTATATTATAGGTAGGTAGTCTCAAGTTTTTATAACATAAACTGTTCGCTGTTGCGCGCCTTACGCCTTACTCGCATAACAATGGCACATTATATATTTTTAATCAATGAAATCACACCCATTTATATTGTTGATTAAATTACCTTTACCGAGCTGTACTGTAATTTTTATCTCGGTAGGTATCAGGTTTTGTTATTTTTATTTATTTATTTTTCATTATTATTTTACTTGCTCCATTTATTATCACTTCAAAGGTTTTATAGTCGTACTACTCGTATTAATACACAAATCGTTAATTCCTCACAATCAAAAGCACACCGGAAAATTGGATCCATATTATATTATAGTCAATCCGCACTCGTTAATTGCTCGTATATAATATTATAAACGACATGAGTACCTATAAAAAAATATTTTATATAACCTACATTAATCATGAGTGTATAATATTATGGCTATCTAGTATGATGTCACGAGTCGATGGCAAATAAATAAAAAATTATCAGTATGCTACTGATTACCACTGCAAAAAAGATTTGGATAATACGATCTTAACTAATAGCAATATCCCTCCTCCGCCAGAAAACAAAGAAATCGAAAAAGATAATAACTCACAAAATGATCAAAATATCATGGACCATACTAACATAAATCATAGTATCGAAAACAATTATCAACAATCTGTCAACAAGCTGACTCCCCTTCAAGAACCAGCTGACCACACTAAAAGACCTATCTCATCATACGCCAGCACCAGCGACACCGACAATGCATCCACCACTGAGAACCCTATAAACACGTCATCAACAACACCTACGGAAACTCAAAACCATCAAACCAATAATAGCATCCTCACAACAAAGCTATTAGAATCCCAATCCAACGAAAAAAAAAAAACAAATGCAGGAATAACACATAATACACCCCTAACACCAATTAAGAGCACAATTATAAGCAAGCCTACCACCGAAAAATCCAAGAAAAATCCCCAACCCGCCAACAAAAAAATTAAACGCTCCAACTCCATAGAACTAATAGTAGCTAAACTGGACGAAACACTAGCCCCAGCCATAACTGTTTTTGAAGGAATCCCCAACCGTAAAATAGACTTCAATCAGCTCAAATACATTATTGAAAACTCCCTCAGCGTGGATCATCCCTCTAATATTCTAAACCAATTTAACATAACCCCGATGGAAATGATTGAAATATTAGACACGATTCGTCCGAAAATAAAAAACCTCTCGATTAAAAACAGGCTCACGAGACTATGTAACTCATATCTCGAGTCATTATGAATACGCAATCCCTCTTCAGTATAAATAATAAATAAAGCAAATAAAAAAAATCATCTTCTCAAAATTATATAATAATCATCTTTACAAACACCAAATGCATTCACAACCAAAAAATATTATACAATGGAACCTCAATGGACTCCATAAAAACATCGATGAAATTAAACTTATAATAAACTTACATCAACCTATTGCAATATGTCTTCAAGAGACTAACCTTAAATATGACGAATCTCCACCTTATATAAATAACTACCAATATGCAACTAAAAACCGTAGAGGCTGTCTGAGGGCAAGCGGTGGTGTCTGCATACTCATCAATAACTCATTTCCTTGGGAGGAAATCCCTATCCATTCAAACATAGAAGCCGTCGCAATATCAATCACACTCGAAACAAAAACCACCCTCTGTAATATCTACATCCCAAATCAATTCAACTTCACACTCATAGATTTAGAAAATATTATCAAACAATTACCACGTCCCTTTATTATTGTCGGGGACTTTAACAGCCACAGTATTACATGGGGTTCATATAAAACCGATTCAAGAGGAAAAATAATAGAAAAATTATTGGAACAAGATAACATCGTAATACTTAATAACAACGAGCAAACTAGAATAAATCCCTCGAACAGAAACCTTTCAGCTATCGATTTAACGTTCTCTACACCTACCATAGCACAAAGATTACACTGGCAAGTATTAAATGAAATATACAATAGTGACCATCTCCCAATCTCTATACAATTCATTTCCAATGCACTTCAAACAAACTACTCTACAACAAAATGGAACCTCAAAAACCCTGACTGGCCTCTATTCGCAAACCTTCTGGAAACAAAAATCAACGCGTCAGAATTCACGGATGAAGATATAGATATCGAAAAAACAGTATCCAAATTCACTGAAATCATCATAGAGACTGCAGAACAAACAATTGGCTACTTGAAACCCCCCTCCAAAAAAACACCGGTTCCGTGGTGGAACAATGAAATTAAACAATATATATCACAAAAAAATAAAGCACTGAAAACATTTATAAAAACCAGATCACTCGAGGACCATATAAAACTAAAAGAACTCAGAGCAAAAACAAGATTCTTGGTCAAAAGTAATAAAACTCTAACATGGCGAAACTTCACCTCCGAAATAGGTGCCCAGGTTGATCCCCACATTATGTGGAACAAAATCCGTTCATTACAGGGACGGAAAAAGCACAGTAATATCTATCTCTCCACAAACTCATCTTTAAACACCGATCCATCTTCAATTGCCCACCACCTTGGAAAATATTTCGAAAAAAACTCCAGCAATGAAATGTACAGCCACGACTTCTTAAGGGAAAACGAAAACATACCATCACCTCAACCCTCCGTAATATCGCCCCAAAATACTAATCAGTCTTACTTAAACAGCCCTATAACAATTAACGAAGTTTTGAAAACTCTCAAAAAATGTACCAGCAAAAGTACCGGACCAGACAATATCCCTTATAGCTTTATTCAAAACTTTACAATCGACACACTTAAAATACTCCTAAAAATATACAATACCATCTGGAACAACAACGTATTTCCACAAAATTGGAGAAACAGTATCATCATACCGATAAGCAAACCAGGAAAAAACAAATTCTCAACTGATGGCTACCGACCCATTTCACTTTTAAATACCTTGTGTAAACTCCTAGAGAAAATTGTAAACCAACGTTTAATATGGTTTTTAGAACAGTCTTATTATCTCACCCCCGAACAATGCGGGTTCCGGAAAAATAAAGGTACATATAACTGCCTTTCCAAAATTCACGCAGAAATACAAAACACATACTCCGAAAATCAATACTTAGGTATGATCAGTCTCGATTTGATGAAAGCCTACGATACAACATGGAAACCGCACATTTTAAACAGTCTCACTAAAGTACTAAGCCAAAACCAAATGTTCAATTTTATTAGTAACTTTCTTAAAACAAGAACATTTCAAGTAAGAATCAACCAAACTCTATCCAAGACTTTCTCACAGGCTAACGGAGTCCCTCAAGGATCTTCAATTTCGGTTACGCTCTTCCTCATAGCCATCAACAATATCACACAGAACATTTCTCCACCTGTCCATTCTACACTCTTCGCGGATGACTTTAATATTTACTGCCGAAGCAAGAGCTTAGCAACCGTCCAAACCCACCTACAACAAGCCATCAACAATCTGCTTAAATGGACCCATACATCTGGCTTCACTTTCTCTCCTGAAAAATCACAATGCACTGTGTTTACACGTAGGCGCAATCAAAACGCTATAAACATAAAAATGGGTGAATACCAACTAATAAATAATAATACAATTAAAATCCTCGGCATCATATTCGACAGAAAATGTTCCTGGACCCACCACATCAACTCCTTGAAAAACTCAATTTCTCCACGTCTCAATGTTATAAAAATGTTATCCCACACATCATGGGGTTCTAAAACTCATGTTCTATTAACAATATACAAGTCACTTATACTTTCTAAATTCGATTACGGATCCTTCATTTGGACAACGGCACATAAATCAATATCAAAGAAACTAGATACAATCCACAACTCAGGTCTCCGTATGTCAATTGGCGCTTATCGTTCAAGTCCAATTCCTAGTATCTATAATCTTGCCTGCACACAACCTCTAGACATAAGAAGACTCAAAATTACATTGAATCACGAATTAAAATTAGCAAGTACCCTTCCTACTCTTGACTTCAAACCAATATTTCAAATGTTACCATCATTACTCCAGGAGAACAACCTTGATACTTCCAAAATACTCACTATTACTCCCTCTCTCACCCCCCAATGGAAAAATCTCATTGAAACCAACACTGAACTTTCTATATTCAAAAAAGACGACACACCCCCTTCCATCTACAAAAAAGAATATTTCCACATAATTCAAAACATCACAAGTGAAAAAATGTATACAGATGCATCCAAAAGCCAAGACGGGGTTGGCGCTGCAGTAATCTGGAATAATTCGGAACTCATGTATAAACTTCCTAGCACTTGCTCAGTTTTCACAGCAGAGTCAATCGCCATATTAAAAGCACTCGACATAATAACCGATCATCACCTACAAGACACCATTATCTTCACTGACTCCCTCAGCGCTATCAACAATATTAAAAACACATATAACCCATCAGACATCGGCCTACATATTCAGAATAAAATCCACACTTTACAATACCATAATAATTTCAAAATCAAACTCTTCTGGATCCCCGGACATTCGAGCATAATAGAAAACGAACTAGCTGATCTCGCCGCCAAATCTGCAATCTCCTCTCCACTATCAACGTCCTCACAAATAATCTCTTCCAGCGACATACGATCACTTATAACAAAGAAATGTCAACAAACATGGCATCAGAGGTGGACTTCTTATTACACAAAATTAAATCGTATAAAACACAACACCGTCAATTGGACATTTCCTATCGAAATCCACAGGAAATTCGAAGTCATAATAACCAGACTCAGAATTGGACATACGAAAATCTCTCACAGTTTCCTAATGGCCAAGGAAGAACCACCCATGTGCCCATCCTGTGGTGTCCAAGTCACCATCAGTCACATCCTCACCGAATGCCAAACATACCACAATGCCCGAACCAGCCACAACCTGCCCGAATCACTCTCCGAAATATTAAGCAACCACCCTCAATCCATAGTCAACATCATCAAATTCATCGCAGCCGCCAATCTTCAAACCAAAATTTAGCATAATTAGATTTAGTAAATAATATTATGTATCTATAATCCCCTCTCTGTAAGCCCAATGGCCCATGTTGCCGAGGGTATAAATATAAATAAAAAAAAAAAAAAAAATATTAATCATTATTATCCCCCAGTCGCTTTAAAACGTAGGTACCGTTTTGTACGAACGGTTTTGTGATAAAACAGGAAAAGTACCTACTACCATTTTGTTTAATTGTTACGATCACTAAAATATAGGTATAAAAATATATTTATTAGAAAATTTCAGTGGGCTATTTTTCATCCCTCTAAGCGACGATTCTCTCTAACAATTCCGTCTCCTCCTTTCTATATACGGCCGTACGCGTGATCAAGTACCGTTTTATCAATACCGATCGCATAATATTACATCACTTGGACCGAAATACTTTGAAGAAAAATGATCTATTATTTGTAGATTTCTTGCTTTTTTTTTTTGTTGAAAAAATTTGCAATGGTAGCACTGAAATGCCAACATCAGCGATCCCTGGAAGATGCAGGGGTGTGAACAAACCGCAAACGTCCTACATACTATCTAAACTGGACACATATATAACGGGTACCAATATACTATACATGCAATTAATGCAGAATTGCATTTTAGAGGCATTTTAACACTATTGTTTGCGCAAATACGTTAGGCATACTTAACTTCGTAGAATTATACAAATGGGCCTTACAATCTATATTATAGGTAGGTAGTCTCAAGTTTTTATAACATAAACTGTTCGCTGTTGCGCGCCTTACGCCTTACTCGCATAACAATGGCACATTATATATTTTTAATCAATGAAATCACACCCATTTATATTGTTGATTAAATTACCTTTACCGAGCTGTACTGTAATTTTTATCTCGGTAGGTATCAGGTTTTGTTATTTTTATTTATTTATTTTTCATTATTATTTTACTTGCTCCATTTATTATCACTTCAAAGGTTTTATAGTCGTACTACTCGTATTAATACACAAATCGTTAATTCCTCACAATCAAAAGCACACCGGAAAATTGGATCCATATTATATTATAGTCAATCCGCACTCGTTAATTGCTCGTATATAATATTATAAACGACATGAGTACCTATAAAAAAATATTTTATATAACCTACATTAATCATGAGTGTATAATATTATGGCTATCTAGTATGATGTCACGAGTCGATGGCAAATAAATAAAAAATTATCAGTATTTTTTTTATTTTTTTTAATTACCTTTTTCCGTAA